CCGTTGCTGTGTCCGCCAGCGGACCAGTCACAGCCACCGCTGCTACCACACTCCCCACTGCCTGCTCCTGCTCCTTACACTGCGGTGTCAGAGTCCCTGACTGAGCGTCGAGAGCCTGAGACTCGTGCTTCCACCCCTGAGCGTCGAGAGCCTGAGTCTAGCTTTGACCTTGAGCCTGAGCCTAGAGCTGCTGTCCGTGCTCGTGTTCCTCGTGTTCGTCGTCCGCGTGCTCCGGCTGTCCCCGGCACTCACGATATGACACTCCGTCCTTCCTCTGTTCTTCAGCGTGTTGTACTACCGTTACCTCCTGCGTCCTCTCTGCCTGACGTTGCTGACCCTCCGTCTGACCTTGCTCGTGCGTCCAGTCCGACTGTTACTCGCCTTCTTGCTACGGTTGTGACGGACCCTACGTTCTCGTCTCCTGCTGCGTCTGCCCTAGTAGCTGAGCTCGTTGACTTTGCTGCTGTGTACCGCCTAGACTACCTTGCGAGTCTTGTCTCTGACCCTGTCCCTGCCTGTCCTCCGTCCGTCGGGGGTGAGACTGCTCTTGGCTGTACTGCCCTTGGCTGTGACGTTCTTGAGGACAGACAGGAGGAGCTGGAGTGCCTTGCTGCCGCTTCACCCCATCACGCGACCATGCTGCTTGCCCCTGAGGGAGACCCGGATGCACTTGACATCCCCACCCCGCGCTCCTACAGGGAGGCAATTTCGGGTGAGTACTCCTCTCAGTGGCAGACAGCCATGGACGCAGAGATGGCTTCCTGGAAGTCCACAGGCACCTACGTCGACGAGGTTCCCCCACCTGGGGCGAACATCGTCAGTGGCATGTGGATTTTCAGGGTGAAGCGGCCGTCGGGTTCTCCGCCTGCCTTCAAGGCACGTTACGTTGCTCGAGGCTTCAGTCAGCGTGAGGGGGTCGACTTCTTTCAGACCTTCTCCCCCACCCCGAAGATGACCACTCTTCGGGTGTTGCTACACGTTGCAGCTCAGCGTGACTACGAGCTGCACTCCCTCGACTTCTCGACAGCTTTCTTGCAGGGTAGCCTTCACGAGGCCATCTGGTTGCGCCGTCCACAGGGTTTCACTGGGTCGTTTCCTGAGGGTACCCAGTGGAGCCTACGGCGACCAGTGTACGGCCTGCGTCAGGCGCCCCGTGAGTGGCACGACACACTGAGGACGACACTTGCGGCTCTTGGGTTTGCTCCTTCGACTGCTGACCCGTCGCTGTTTCTACGCACCGACACTACTCTGCCGCCGTTCTACATCCTCGTGTACGTCGACGACTTGGTTTTTGCTACTGCTGACACTGAGGCACTGGCCCTAGTGAAGGCAGAGCTGCAGGAGAGACACACCTGCACTGACCTGGGTGAGCTGCGGAGCTATCTTGGCTTGCAGATCACCCGGGACAGACCACGGCGCACCATCACCCTCACTCAGTCACACATGGTGCACCAGGTCCTTCAGCGCTTCCGCTTCACTTGGTCCTCGCCACAGCCCACTCCTCTGTCTACCGGCCACTCGCTCTTAGCTCCACCTTCGGACGAGTCCGTAGAGCCGAGTGGTCCGTACCCAGAGCTTGTGGGTTGCCTCATGTACCTGATGACGTGCACACGACCTGACCTCGCGTACCCTCTCAGCCTCCTGGCTCGCTTCGTGGCACCTGGTCGACACCGAAAGGTGCACTTTGATGCTGCGAAGAGGGTACTGCGTTACTTGTGCAGCACATCGGGCATGGGGCTCGTGCTTGGAGGACGGGGTTCGGTGGTCCTCACAGGACACTCTGACGCTTCTTGGGCCGACGACCAGACGACTCAGCGTTCGTCACAGGGTTACACCTTCAGTCTTGGCGCTGGTTTTGTCTCATGGAGGTCCACTCGTTCTTCTCTGTGCTTGGTTCCAGCTGTGAGGCCGAGATCTACGCTGGGGCCATGGCTGCACAGGAGCTACGCTGGCTGACCTACCTGCTGACCGACCTGGGTGAGCGGCCTCGTTCTCCTCCAGTTCTGTACGTCGACAACAAGGCAATGCTTTCCTTGTGTCGCGAGCAGAGACTGGAGCACAGAACGAAGCACATTGCTCTTCGCTACTTCCTTGCGCGTGAGCTGCAGCAGCGTGGTCAGCTGCGCCTTGCTTACGTGGCCTCTCGGGCCAACACTGCTGATGTCTTCACCAAGGCCCTTGGGGCTGGTGATCATCACCGTTTCTGCACTGCTCTTGGGCTTGTGCCCACTCTGCCTCACCTGTTGGTTGCTTGACTTGCTCTTGTTGTACACTGCTATATATCTTTATGCCTGCATGTTTTCTCTTGCTAGGTTGTGATCAGTGTACTGCCTTGCTATTATATACCTCTGCATGTGAACTGGCCTTGTGGCCACTTGCTTGTGCTCAGAATGCGTGGTGACTTTGTGATCCACCCTTAGCTGTGTTCTCTTCTGCAGACTGGTCTTGTGACCGCTTGTTGTGTTTGCTGTCCCCTACTTTGCCTATGGGGGTGTGTCAGATTACAATTGTATCTCTAGGCTACAGTAGGGTCACTCCTTAGTGAGTACAACACTTCAGCGTTAGGTTTCCCCTACTTGTACTCACATCTTGCCTAGTCCAATCCATCATTCCTAGTTGTATTCTTGACAGGGTGTGCATCAGGCCAGCTAGTCTAGTTCTCTTCTCCACCATAGCTCAGAAGAAAAATATTTGAGATGAGCAAAACAAAGAGTCAAGAACATAACTCACGAAGAAAAACCCAGACACCCTCACTCGGCACACAAGTCAGTTTCAGAGACACAAACACGCACATATTTAGCAGACAAAGCAGCTACCGTACTTTGACAGAGCAGCCACAGAGAGCCACATGTTTCTTTAAAGTCAGAAGTCAAACCAGCCCACTCATGAAAACTCTTCATTGTGGAAGAAAAAAAAAGAAACTGTCTTCTCATGGCGATGCACTGGCAGGCAGAACAAAACGAACCGGTCTTTCCATACATGCCCATCCCAGCAGAGGCAAACCCAGCGGGGACAAACCCAGCGACCCCCCTTCTCCCTCCTCCCCACCTTCCCCACCTCCCGGGCCCCTTTCTCCCTGAAATCAGCGACAGCAACCCACTTCTCCCCATGCGAAATCCCAGCCGCCTGTGACCCCGTGGCAGCAAGGGATACTGGAGTGTCAGAGGTAGTTGTGCACCTGCCTGCGCGGATCCCAAATTGCAAAAGGTGTGCCTGCCTGGTCTCTGGTCAATAGATTGGCTGATGGAATGGAAAAGTCCCTGGCGTGGCTTGATGCCAAAAGAAGAGTGGAGCAGAGAGGAAGATCGGGGGATGGGGTGGCTGCAACATGGGACATGGAAGGGCAGGCTTGGACAGGCAAGCTTCGCTTCCAGAGTGTATGCCCATGGATGATCATGGCACGTGGGCCATGGCGTGTGGCGTGTGGCCCATGGGCCCCCATGGCGCGTGGCGCATGGCGTATGGCGCATGGGCAAGTTGCGGCCTTGCACGAGTCGAGGGCGACATGCAATGCACACTGGTATGGTATGGTAACGGCATGGAATGGAATGGTACGGTACGGTGTGGCACGGTATGGTGTGGAATGGTACGGTACGGTATGGTGAAGTATGGTATGCATGCATGCATGCATGTGTGGAGAGGGAAGCCAAGAAGGGCTTGGCGGAGTATGGTATGGGGGAGGCCATGTGTGTATGGGGAGGGTATGTGCGTATGGGAGTGGTGCGGTGTGGGGGGAGCTGTGTGTGTATCAGGGAATCATTTGTGTATCTTCTTCAATGCCCTCTCGGTCCTCCCTGGGCTGCCGCCATCCTCAGGCTGTGCCATGCTATCCCCTCCTCCCTACCCCCTCCCCCCTCCCCCATCCCCCCTCCCCCCTCCCCCCTCCCCCCCCCTCCCTCCCCCTCAATGCTACACGCAGAAACTCCTTTGGCGACTTCTCATGGGCATTATCCATCCCTCCTGTGGCATCCCTCCCTACCGCCACCAACCACCAGCCATACAAGAACGTGGTGCGAGCATCGATTTACCACCACCACCACCACCACCACCACCCCCACCCCCACCCCCACCCCCACCCCCACCCCCACCGCCACCCCCACCCCCACCCCCACCCCCACCCCCACCCCCACCGCCACCCCCACCACTAAGAACACTCATGCAGCGCCCACTAGGCATGGGTCAATGCCTGACGACTGCCACACCTGCGACCCTGCATCTGCCTCCTCCCTCCCTGCTCCAACCGCCGCTTCTCCCTCTCCCTGCCCGTTAACCTGCCCGTTTCCCTGCCCGTTCACCTGCCCCTGCCTGTCCCCATCCCCGTCCTTCCCCTTGCCGTTGGCATCACCCCTTGCCTCTGTGCTCACTTTTGCTACTGCTGCGCCTGATCCACCTCCCCCCCCTCCTCCACCTCCTCCAGCTGGCGCTGCTGCTGCTGTTTCCCCCTTTCCACCGGTGGCTGCTAGTCTAGGCGAGAGGAAGAATAGCGGCCTAGGGGACTTGGGCACAAGGGAAGGCGAGATGGGAGGGGCCGTGGCTGCTGCTGCTGGCGCCGTGCTGCTGCTGGTGGTGATGGTGATGGGGAAGAGGAGGAGAGAAAGACATGGCAGGGATTGAATATGGGGAGGGAACACACGGACAGGCATGTGCGTAATCCCCGGAAGCGATTTTCGAGGCGCCAGAAAAACCGTCTCATTCCTCAAGAAGGATGGGAGGAGAAGAAGACAAATGCAAGGGGCGAATCAGAAAAGGGAAGGGGGAGACCACAGGGACGGGCATGTAGAACCAGCAAGACGGCTAGGCAAAGAAATTTCTGGGCAACATTGGAGGTAAAAAGTGTTTCGTGCCGCATTCGCGGTGAATAGAGTTCTATGAGCCATTGGGGAGAAAAGCAGTGTTGTGTGCCACACTGGGAAAGAAGAGTGTTTCGCTCCGCATAACAGTGTGTCAGCCCAATAGAACTAAACCCTCCCCACGAGGTCCATCGTTCCTACCCACAAGGTCTACCCTCCCCCGTCCTTGCCAGCAACCCCTGCTCCCCCCTCCCCCCCTAACACCCCTAACACCACGAGGACTAGTTCAATTGGGTCCACCCCCCCTTCCACTAACTCATGCACAGCGTACCTGCCAGCAGCAACGGAAAGGTCAGCCGCCGCAGCAGGAGCAGGAACAGCAGCAGCAGTAGTAGCAGGGGGGTCTAAGGAAGCGACTCGGGGTAAGCCGCTCGCATCTGATTGACTAGCCATATCTAGGTGACTCGCGGTATCCATTCGCTGCTCTGCAGGTATAGGAGGGGCCGTGGGGGCAGCTGCTGCTGCAAAAGAGGAGGAGAAGGCAGAGGAGGAGGCGGAGGCGGAGGACGGAGCGGCGGTGGCAGCAGCAGCAGCAGAGGAGGAGGAGGAGGAGGAGGAGGAGGTGGAGGTAGGAGGGGCAGGAGCAGAGGCTGCTGCTGGTGCTTGTTGTGATGATGACCGCGCGTGTGCTTGTGCTGCCTCGTGGTCGCGGCTTGAGCCCCTGCGCACCCATGCAGGACTAGCAGCCTGGGCGTTGAGTTGCGGGGGGGGGATGCGCGTGGGTGGGGAGAAGATACGCAGAGAGAACGGGAGGGGGGGGGAGGGAAAGGGGGAGGTGGGGAGGGAAGGAGAGAGAAGGAGAGAGAGAGAGAGGAACGGGAGGGGAGGAAGAGGGGGTGGGGGGGTTAGAGGAAAGGGAGAGACGAAGGGAAGGAGGCGGAAGGGTAGGGAGAGAATGCGTTACAAAAGGCAGTGGCAGTGACAGTGGCAGTCGCAACGGCAACGACAGCTGCATTGATAGCGACAGTAGCAATGGCAACTACAATGATAACAGCGATAGAAAGGGAGAATAGAGGTGCAAAGGAAGCAGGAAAACACACAGATACACTGCCCGAACTCGAGCGGATCGAATCTCCTTAAGCACTTACCGCGCATGTCTGGCTATGCGCGGGCTGATGCCTGCTCAGACACTTGTCGTTGCAGTACACAGCCTGGCGGCACTTGGGGCAGCGCACGGGGTTGCTTCCGCCCACTCTCCGCGCGCACAGCGCGCACGCCTGCCGCGGGTGCGACCTCCCCAGGATGCACCCGCTCGGTAGCCCGCAGAAGTAGGACGAAACGCCTCCAAGCGTCGCGTTAGGGCTTCCGGGCGGGCTCAAGTCGGGGGCGCGTGGGGACTCAGTAGGGCTCGCGGGGTAATCGTCCTCGTCGCAACCCCCATTCTGCTGCTGCTGCTGGTTGTGATGCTGCTGCTGATGCTGGTGGTGGTGCTGTTGTTGGCGCTCCTGGTGCGGAGGAGCCGCTTGCGCGGGTGCTTTCCGCAAAGGGTGCAGCTCACACAGGCATCCGGGCGCTGGCCGCGGGCCTGAACCCGACTCCGAAAGTCTCTCCGCCCGCCCGACTGACTCCGCGCGCAGGGAGTCTGCTTCCGCCGCTCCCGCTCCGCCTGACGCCGCGGATTTGGGCGGAGAGAGCCGCGCACCACCCCCCGCTCCGCCCATCGCCCCGTCGGTTGAGTGCCTGAGCGGGTGGATTGCGGAAAGGTGGGGAGGTTCCGCCATTCCCGCGCCATACGTGGCGGAACTATCACTGGATCGATGCGCGGGTGCAGTATCCTGCCGGTCCATGCGCATCAACGGTTGCGCCTGTAGCGCCGGTTGCTGATGGCTTTCCGGTTGCTGAGACGGCTGATGATGCTGCTGCTGCTGAAGCTGCTGTTGCTGCTCCTGCTGCTGCTGGAGCTGTTGCTGCTGGTGCAGACTCTGCTGCTGTTGCTGGCGGGATTGACCCCCGGAAAACGCCGAGCCTAGTTCCGCCCACACGCTCAGGAGCGCAAGCCCGCCGCCGCCGCCCCCCGCCCCTCCGCCAGTCCGCTCATCCACGCGGCTCATGCTGCTGCTGGTCGGAAACACGCGCAGAGGCGAGCGCGGAACAGCATCGGCAATCTCGGAGTTCGTCTCACTGTCGATTAAGTCCCCCTCCTCCTCCTCTAAGATTGTCCGCGCAAGCCCTAGGGACGCCGCCCGCGGAGTCCCCATCCCGCCCCGCCCAGCGCCGCGGAAATCGCCTTTCTTCGCGGCGGAAGCAGCGGGACCTAGGAGCTTCCCCGCACCCGCCTTGTGCGCAATCCTTCGTTTCGGGGAGATGCCGCCGGATTCTAGAAGCGCTGCTGCTGCTGATAGGGACGCGGAGGCACATGCTGATGCAGCTGCCGAAGCAGATGCGCATGCAGATGCGGATGCGGGTGTGAGTGTGAGTGGGGAAGACCAAAAGGAATTACCCTGCTGCTGCAGCTGCTGCTGCTGCTGGGTTGACAGAACCGCCAGACCTCTCCCCGTGCCAGCCCGCACTGGCGACAAGAGCTGGCGAAGCGGCGACGACACGTCGCGGTCTTCGCTCGTCGTCCCGCTGATGTCGCTTTCGCCATCGTCGCTCTCTCTGCTCGTTCCTTGTTCACTTTCCTGGAGCATTGACGAGCTAAGCACGACGGGAAATTGCTCGTCTTCGTCTCGCGAGCTAGAGCACCCCGATAAAGAACACCCCGATAACGAGCCAGCGATCCGGCTTCCATCCGTGGATTCGCATGCAGTCAGTTCTGTTAGTGACCCGCCGCTCGGCTCACGTAAAATTCCTATACGCATGTTAGGGTTAGAGGTGTGTCACCTTTGTGTGAAACAGAAACCGTCTCGCTCGACGCTAAGGTTCTGAACCTTGACCAAGGAAGACCCAGTCGTATCAACAAAACGTGTTAGAGAAACTACGGCTGAGGGAAAAGCTCGAATGTGCAGGAGTTTCCACTGTATCTGTTTCTGTTTCGAGCTGCTGCTGTTGCTGATGCTGCTGTTGCAGCGAGTCTAAGCTAGAAGATGACGTACTGTACTTAACTCACTGCTGCTCCTACTAATTGGTGTGCCAACTGCACTGTCCTTGAGGAAGGGAAAAATCAAACCACCTGTTCTGACAGCACCATGCCTCCATTGTAGGTTTGGGCTACCGAAGGAGAACCTTACAAGGACGGCGAAAACAGGTGCTGTTCAGAAACAAGCAAAGATATAAAACTGCGGATTCTTCGGTTTGGTGGGGTTACACCTTCAACAGTGAACACGAAGCTAGCTATCACTCGTGTAATTTATGGTCAGAAACACTATCTACACGACCCATCCACTACCACATCTGCTGCAGCACAGCAGCAAGCAAGTCAGGACAGCAGTTACAAATGAATGCACAAGTCATACAAATGAAGGAAGGCAGGGGGGTGAGGGGGAGAGGTGAAGGGGGGAGGGGAAGTGGGGAAGCGAGAGAGAAGGAAAGCGGTTGTGTGATTTGTAGCTTGTGAAGCTCCAAGCGTTACATACCCCGCTTTCCTCCACCACACACACACACGCGCGCAAACTCCACCACACCGACACACGACGAGCAGCGCTCACTCCAGCCACCACACCAACCGAAAAAGAGGACTTTTCGAGTCTTGAGGTTTGCGGAACCCCGATCATACAGTTCCTGAAGGCAGGAAGAAAAGACAGGACAGGACAAAAAGGATACAGCTGCCAGTTTTACTGTACTCCCTGCCCAAAATGATTAGGCAAATTGCTACACAAGAATTTCGCACCCGGGCCTAGACTCCCCAAATCACCCAACTTTCTTCAGACAGAACCTGAAAGAATTGGAATTGAGGGTTTGGAGGACTGCTGGCTAATTGCGCTCGCTCATTCGCCGCTGTTAACTGAGTATAATTCGTACCGCTCGTTGCTGCCACACAATAGGACTAAGTAATGTCCTCAAGAAAATTATATCAGCAGTCTGGTGTGGAATGGAACCTGGGGAAGTGCTGAAGTATTTGCGGTATTAGCTTTCGGCACAGCACTTCCTTCGCCCATTCCAAGTGACCATCGAATTTCATCTGCTTCCTTGACGGGACCGCCGGGATTTTTACCCGAACCAATCTGTGGCACTCCATAGCAAGCGGGATTCCGAGACGTGGCTGCAGCCCGTTGGGATGAGACATGTGTCGCTGAATCTTGTGTCAAGCTTTACGAGCTCCCAACCACACAATCCACGCTTCACCCACCCACTCTCTGACATCTCTCGACGAGGGTGAAAACTCGATAAGAACAGGAGCATGAAACTGTAGTAAAATAGGAATCCAAAACAGCGGACAAATTAACCGCGTGCCATATGAATTCTTTTCCGCGTGCCATTGGCTGCTCCGCAAACAACACCAAGCACACACCCCACATAATTGACTGACATGCCATAGACATGGTATAGGAGGCTAGTTACTGTAGATAAATCTAAATATTTGATGGTTCACAATCAGTATTATTTTCCAGCCACAAAACATTCAGTGACAATGTATCCACACAATCCATTAAGTAGCCACAAATTTCAGACCGGCTCAGCCTGGGTTGTAAGGGGTAATGTCGAAATGAAGTCCTTCGCACTTTCAGAGTTGAAGTCATAGCTGAGTAGCCTGTCTACAAGGTTCTGCACAGACAGATTTTGTTAGCAAACAAGGTTACCGTAATGCCAGATACCATGACGGAATAACGAGTCCCACCTTGTAGCATTTGTCCCTCCCAGATGTGCGCGCATTAGACAGCCTTTCAACAGGTATTCCCGCCTGAATCTTGGATTGGATTTCACGAGAACGTTCAAGCACGGCTTGAGGAAGTCCTGAAATCACAACTCTGAGATACTCCTCGGTATTCAGCAATATACGACAACACCAAAGATCTGATCAGCTCACCTGCTAGACGAGCACAGTGTATTCCATGGCTGTCTAGATTACGCCCAGGTTTAAGGCTGCAAACATAGGGGTAACTAAACTGTGTAAGAAGGCGTCGCATACTTGCGTCAATGTAACGAAACACCATACCGGTACAGAAATGTGATTTCGTTGGACCCTTCGACAGTTTCAGGCTGCTCCAATATAGCCATGGTGCAGAAGGTGATTTGTGCAGACTGCTCATGAAGCCATGACAAGACAAATTAGTGGAGCTGAATGGCAAGCTGAGAAGTTACATAAGGAGCTTACAGGATTCAGGAGGTTTTGATTCATGATTTCGCTGAAGTGGGTGCATACAAGTAGCTTGGGTGGAATCGGTTGAGCTGCCATAAACCCAAGTGTGGAGCAAAGGAGACCAACACCATCTGCGCAAATAACAAGGAAAAAAAAAGGTCGTGCCGCTGCAAAGCCAGACTGTAAGATAACGGTTACCAAGTGAGCAACTGTACCTGCAACTAAAGTTCCCTTTCCAAATTCATCCACAACGCAAAGAGAACGTGACGTTGCAAGGCTGATCATCCTCGATACTTGTTTCAGATCGCTTGAAAACGACGACTGGTTACTAGAACCAGATTCACAATTGCCAGCCCTTGTAAAGATTCTGCAAGAAGCTTGCCGAAAGTGAGGATATATAAGAGTGGAAACGGCTCAATTTTCTCGTACCTGTCCGTGAGACCAATGACTGCGCTTTCAGCAGGTACAAAACTTCCCACATGGGCCAAAAACACAATGAGAGCAACCTGCAGAAGCCCCACCTTAAAAACATGTTAACAAAAAAAAGGCACGAGAACAACTTGGTATACAAACCTGCTTGACGTAAATGCTTTTCCCAGAGAAGTTTGGACCTGTGATGACAACTATCCTGCCTGCCAACAGACATTGAAACTGGTATTTGTTGGATAACAAGTAGAAATCGGGGATGACGAAGAAAAATATACACAGCCCACCTGAATCTTGGTTGATGCTGGTGTTATTTGGGACAAACGTATCAACGACAAGCTCCTGAAGCAAATGCCTGAGGGAAAAATAACGTTTTACATTCCCATGTTATTCGCAAAGACCACAAGATCCCTTTACAATGTTAGTCACCTTCCATTCGTAATCTTCAACACGTTTTCCTTGGTCAGTCGCGGCTGCTTCAAATTGAATTCTCGAGCAGAAAGAGCCAGAGAAACAAGACTGGAAGCAGCAACACACATTGTGAGAGAGAATATTGGAAACTGCAGGGAGTGAGAACCAGAATTTAATAGCAACCCTCTCACCAATCAATTTCAGCAGCAACTGCAAATGCCACAGTTAAAGCATCGGAGTGCTCAAGGACACGGCCCTCAAGATCACGAATAATCACACTCTCCATGTCTGAACCATAGAATTTACGGTGTCAACAACATGCACAACATGGCAAATACTGATATGAATGCAGCAGAGATTACCAAGGATCTTGTGGAACACATCACCAAGAACCTGATCTAGTTCCCTGGTCTTATCCGTGTGGTAAAAAGAAGCAGCTCCATCACCGTTGTCCCCTTCAAACTGTTTGAAACATTTGTCATGAGGCAAGAGAATAATGGTTAAAATAGATGGAAAATAAGAACTGCAAAAAAAACAATCAACATACCGCAAACCGATAATCTAGAAGGCCCTCCATTGCTTCGTCAGAAAACGGTGGCCCTTCAAAGCGCATCAAGTAACCTGCATGGTCCATGGCCAATGTATGATTCCTGTTTGTCGAGTTCAAACACATACCATGGGTATATCACTGACCAACTTGAGGCATGTAGACAATTGAAGGTGACTCAGACGCTTCAGCCAAACCAGATGGCATCTTCTTCAGCTCCTCTTGCACAACCTAAACAGAAAACGAAGGCTTGCAGCCAGCAGAGAGATGACAATGTTGTGATGACAGAACAGAGCCATACCTCTGTTAAGAAGTCAGGAAGTCCCTCATACAACTGTTTCAACTCGTCCAACTGCAGCAACAAAAATTAGCGTGTGCACAAAACAGTGCATGGTCAATACGGAAGGTAAGAAGCGGGCATACCTCTTGGCAAATGCCATAAGCAACCATTGTTTCTTGTGATGTTCCACATACTTGGTCGAATTCAATAACTCCACTGATCTGTTAATCAACAGTTGAAGCAGGCAATGGATAATGGACACAGGCACACGGGTAGCCACCACATGGTGGATAGAACATGTGCTCGACTTACCAAGTCCCTTATGTAGGTCAGATGATCACTGAATGCTTCAAAGACCTGCTAAAAGCAGCTTCAGTTAGCTTTTCTTTTTTAACCTCGAAATATAACTATTATGTTTCAGCTTAATAGTGAACGTAGTCACCTTTGGGATAAGGTGAAAAGCAGCGTCGCTACTTTTCTCAGCTTGCCACTGTGCTACATTAACTTCAAACACTTCGCGGACTTCAAGCAGGTAGCTCACAGACTGCTCAGACATCAGAATGTCAGTGGCTGTTCAAGGTTGCACTCAACTTAACAAAACGACTACCCACCTCAAGTAGCTGAAGCCAGTCCTTACGGGTAACGATTGTGGTTGCTGACTTCAACTTCTGCAGTCGCAAGATTTTTCCAAATCAAGATAAAACGCATGCGTAGCTGAGTTAAGGTCCCATGGTTGAGCCATGAAGAAGCATCACCCTGAGAGGACAAAAGATGCTTACCATCAACAGCTTTGAAATGTCCTTCACATGTTGAAGGAAAGAATGCAGAGACGTGACCAGCTCGGGAAAAGACGACAAGAATGATATCTGCAAATTATATGCACCCTCGTAGCACGGTTGCCACAAGCGTTTCTTCATACGATCAAGATAATCAGCTCACTGCTTGATGTCGATCTTGGATCACTTGCAACTCTACAATTGGGCGCAGAAACCACATCCTGTAATCATGCAACCATCAGTTGTATGAATCTTCACAGCATGGACATTTCAAAAGCGACTTACCTAAGCATGCTTCGTCCTCCAGCTGTCACACACTTATTCAGCAATCCAAACACAGAGAATCTGTTTAAGAACAGTTATTGACAAGGTTATCACACGCTCTTATGATACATAAGAAACGATAATGAGAAGCAAACGATATGATACCCTTCTTTAGTCTTGCCAATGCCCATAGGGCTGGGATGCTTGTCGCTCTGAAATATCTGCAAGCTGTTCAGGGTCCATGCGTCCACTGACAAAAAACCATCTCTGTTAAAAGAAAAAGGAAATCCAAGAGAAAAGAAAGAGGTTAGCAACAATCCCATTCAAGATAATGAAGTGATGTTTTATTTACGTACAGATTCAGTTGGGAAATGCTGCCTATCCGAACTCCAAGGGAAGCAGAGTCTCCGTCATTGTCAGTGACCTCAACATTGTCCAATATCATTTCTTGCTGAAGTACCGTGAGCAGAGCACCCAGAGCTCTGACTTGCACATCGTCCTCCAGCCTGATCTTGGTGTTGAGCTACCGGTTGAAAAAGAAACGAGTAGTAGAAAGAAATCGTCAATCTATGTGCAAACGAACTGAAGGGTGGCGTGGGCACAAAGTTACTGAACCTTCAGCACACGTACAAGTTGCAACCTCTGAGACGCATTCAACCCCTGGGGCATGCCGCTCCACTGTAAGAACGTTAGTCTGCAACAAGAGAGAGTATTCCAGAAAAGCTTGGCACAGGTAAGCATGGGAAGGATAAGGAAGAAGGAAAGAACGGAGAAGGAAAGGAAGGCAGCAGGAGGGAAAGAGGAGAAAAGGAGGAGGGAAGGAGAAAGAAAGGAGGGTTCAAATAATCAGACAGGAAGGCGGGAAAGGGAGAGAAGGAAGTGGAAGGTGGAGGTTACCTGTGAAGGAAGGCGAGGGACAGGGAGAGTTATATGCGTGAATTCTACCTGTTCTGAGCGTGTTCATAACCGAAAAGGTTGCTCTTAACAGTCTTTACAAAAAACTTGCTTCCACCTTCCTCAGCTGCATCAACCGAGAAAATCGTGAGTGTGCAACCGCCTAAGCTTACAGACTTATCGAGTCAAAACGCTAGGTACCTGGTGTTGCCAAGGCGTTAAGAAAGGCCTTGTCTGCTTTAGTGCTTGCGATGATGACAGTTGGCTGCTCCTGAAATTTTACTGCACCACCAGATCCTATCCTTTTTATAAAACTGGGCGCCGAAAGGAGTTGCTCAGTATATACACTACTTACACAGCTGAATAGTTGGAAATTCTCCTGATGCTGACTCTTCCCAGGTTTCCGTCGTCACCAGCTGTTGCGTTCCGGCGTTGTAACACGCAATACCAAGCCTGTTACGAAACTTGAAAATACACCCCAGCATCCGGCGCGACATTATAAAGAACAATGCTTACTTTTGCCCTAGGAGTATGCAGGCCATGAAAACCTGCACGGAACATGATCAGCTCGGATAAAAACCAGATAGCACCGAATGGCTTCTAATTGCTCCTTGCCTGCGGTGCGTCCACATCGATTGGGTCATCGCCCTCTGCAGCTTTGTTGGGAGACCTGGAGTCCTGAGCAGGAGAACCTGAAGCCATTGGCACTGCTGGGGAGAAAGTGGAGAGTGCTGATGTTCTTGCTTGTTTGATCAGGCAGTTTGAAGACCTTGAAGACCGCAAAACCTCGATATGCGACGGCAAAATCGATGACCGCCAAATATCGACGGACTCATGTACAGAACAACGAAATATAAGTACACCTGAAAGATGGATAGACCCTTTATTATTACAGAAAAATAGTGGTGAATTTTAAACTGCACAGCCTGTGGATAGAAATTGGAGAGTTTTCACAGATTGCACATTTTGTGCATTTTGAATCAGTACGCCATAAAATATTATATGGTATTCTATATTAGGCGGAGAGTTGCAAGTTATGCTTGCTTCCAACCCAAATTAAATACATAATCACATTAGAAATTATACCTACTGCCAACTTCCGTCAGCAAGCTACTTGCCACAAAGCATCCGTTTTTTTCTTGCGGTCACGCGACTTCCACAATGGTGCGGAAAAAAGGTGGTAATCACAGGTCAGAGGCTCGTAACCGGAACCGCGAGGACTACCTTCTGCATCCGCCTGAATCTATCATATCCGAGCCTCCGCCGCCATCCTCGCCTGGTCATGAGAGCGATGAGGATTCACATGCTGAAGAGAGCGTCGCAACACCGGCGGGGAAGATGGAGGAAGACGAGCTCAAGTTCGTCCTGTATCAACGTGCGGTGCAGGTTCGTTCTCCGCATGCCATCTTGAACCACAGAATCTTGTTAGGCGCTTCCAGAGTCGACACACTCCAGCTCGATTTCCCGAGCTTTAAGCCATCTGTCATTCTCCTTCCGTAGCAGATTGACGTTGCGCGGTAATTTTCGCGTAAATACACATTTCAAGGCACATTTGCACACACCTGGCCTGTCCGTGATGTCATGCAACTCCTCCCCTCATCACGCCTCCTGTGACCTCTTCTCCTCCCGCTGGTCCCCCCTCCTTCCTGATCCGTCCCTCGCCATGCCTGCAGTCCCCCCGCGGCGACATCAGCTATCTGCTCAAGTTTTTTCTCAACTACGTAGGCGGTCGTGTCCCCCAGCACCTACACGAGGACTTCTGCGGCACAGCGCTCATATGGTGCGTGCTGGCCGGCTCGAATGCTCTTATTTAGGGTGCGTGCTGCGCTGATCAAATCGTGTGTGCTGATGTATTTTGTTACAGTAGCATCACAATTTTGCCGCTTGACTACCAGATTGTACACCACGAGAGATCCTTCATCTGCTCACTAAACCCTGAATCCCGCAATGCACACCTCCATCTCTCTCTCGCACACACTTTCCCTCTCTCGTTCTGAACCTTCTTTCCCCTCACACCTCCTCAACACCAGCATGTCCTCACCTCACCCGGTCCCTGCCGTATCTTCTCACCATCATCGCCCTACGTTTCTCAAACACTCAATCTTAAACTTTCCCCTTTACCATTCTCCCCTCGTGTTCCATCCACCTCCCTCCACCCCAACCCCCTCTCTCTTCCCGCTCTTCCCTCCCGCCAGAGCAGTGCCGAGTGGCTACGAGGAGATCCCCGTCGCACTGCCCTCGGCCTAGACTTTGACGAGCAGGCCCTTTCCTGGGGCATTCGGGAAAACTTTTCTAGCCTGCCCGGCTCGGCCCGCGGACGAGCATGCATGCTGCTTGGGGACGTGCGTGATCCGCTCACATCTGCCCGATTTGCGTGCCCGGACGTTTTAGACGAGCCAGAGGGCGAGAACGAACATTCAAGTGCAGACAGGGAGGTACAAGATTCAGGGGAGGGTGATGTTGCTGCTGCTGCTGCTACCACTGCTGTAGGCCCCGTATGGCCTCAATTGGAAAGGTTGCGCCGGCAACGGGCGGACCTAATCTGTGCGTTCAACTTCAGCTCCTGCTGCCTCCTGCATCGCTCAGAGCTTCTGGCCTACTTCAAGAGCGCTCGCGCTAGGCTTGCAGGCGCCGGCGGTGGGAGTGCTGGGGAGGGTGTGGCAGAGAGTGGGGCTGGCAGTGGTGGTGGAGGAGGGGGGGGTGGAGGAGGGGTGTTTGCAATGGATCTGTATGGAGGCACGTCTTCTGAGGGAGCATTGAAGCTGCACCGGAGATATGGCGACATGGATGTGAGTCATGGGGGAAGAAGGGGGATGGGGGTTGGTTGAGCCTTTGCTTTGGGAGTTAGTTGGTATGGCCCATGCTGTGTTTGTCCTCAATAGTTTTCTAGTATCCTTCTCACTCACTCGCTCTCTCTGACCCGCCCTTTCGCTCTCCTCTCACTCCGACTCCTGTGTGTTTCCTGATCCTGTGCATGCCACCAGTACACGTGGGAGCAGGAGCGATTTGATGCTGTGACTCGCACCACCCGAATATCCCTGCACTTCCGCGTGCCACATGACTGGGCGCCTGCCTCGTCCTCCGCCCCTGCAGCAGACTCCAGTGCACGCAGAGGTGGCAGGAAGCGTCAGCAGCCCAAGCGCGTCTTGCGCAGTGCATTCAGCTACAGCTGGCGCCTGTACGTAGGGTCTTTTTGTTCGCTTGTCCTCTTCTTCTTCTTTTGGAAGTTGTGCGCAATAGTTGCAGTCTCAATGTGGATATGGTTGCAATGGTCTTGCAAGACAAGCTTGAATTGTCATGACATGAGTGATCTGCTTCAAGGTAGGTCTTGTGATTGTTTTTCTCCACTGCCAACCATTCCCCCACTCTTCTGTGTGACGTGTCACTTCAAACTTGCAGCTGGACGATTCCCGAGGTGCGTGAGTTGATGCAGGAGGCAGGGTTTGACTCTGTGCACGTGTGGATGCGCAAGATGCCGGATCTTGCCGACCGGGAGGATGAGGAGGAGGAGGTGGAGATGGATGAGCATGCTGCTTTCGAAGAGGTGGATACGTTTTTGCAGACAGATTCGTGGAATGCCTATGTGGTTGGGGTTGTAAAGCCGAGGAGAGGCAAGGTGAAGGAAGTGCTTTCATAGGGAAATAAACGGCTGTTCTAATAGTAAAATGCTGGATAAATGTGCCTGTGCCTAACATAGAAATGCTGGGTTGGTGGCAACCTTAATTAACAAAATGCTTGTTAGTTTGTATGATTGAAACTTACGCATTCAGCGCTCAAATCGATCAAATAGCTAAGCGAGACCGTGCTATATCAGCGGCACGATTGATCATAGCGAAATTCGTAAATCTTCACAAGTGGTGATCACGGCAAACACGGGCAGTCGTTCCGAAAGTCGCATATGTTGGCGCATTGAAGCAGGGAAATTTTTAGTGTTTCGTTCTCTGGCATCAATTATGTCTGGGTTCTTGGGTCCTGCAGCCTACTTAGGACTTACGCCACATTGACCCTGCTGAATACCGGTCTAGACTACAGCACACCGTGTTTGAATGGCTTCACTCGTGCACACTGGTCTATTATAGCAAGAAGGCGGAAAGAGGGTGGAGGATCCACCCAGTGCGCCACGATGCGGTCAAGGGGGAGGGAGAGGGAGAGGGGAGCGGAGAGGGAGAACTTGCATTCTGGCGGGAAAAGCACGGGGTCTGATTGGTGGATTTGGTTGTCGAGGAGCGGCCTCGGTGCTCCCAGTACGAATCTGGCGCAGAGGAGGTTCAGGCTGACACGAGCGGTGCTGTTAACGGCTCTGGCGGTTGTGGCAGCGCTGGGGACGCTGGGTCTGCTGCTGCTGGATTTTGGTCTGACTGGTACGAAGCAGTTTGCTACCCTGTTTTCATTCTTCTTTGTACGTCGCGACAAAACAGTGCTTGGACAATCAGAGCTTGTTTTTAGCGAGTAAGAGCTCTTTTCTCTAGGCTTTCTCAACCCGCGTGTCCGTCTTGAATAATGAGAAAATGCTCCCAATGTATCTTCCTGCTTTTCGGTGAGGCGCGCTGGGCGTCAACAGATTGTCCTTACGGCTGACACCAACCTCTTTCTGTGTATTCGTCCCTCCCCTAACTTGAAACATCTCCTCCGTTTTCATGAGGAAGAACAAGCGGAGGGAGGAAAAGCAGCAAGCGCATCTGCGAGCTTGGCAGTGGTTCTGCCGGCATGTGCAGTGCAGCTGCCGCAGCCAGCTGGCACGGAGTGGAAGCAGGCTGGTGCTGACGTGGACATGTGAGCGGTAATCCTTGCGCCAGATGTAGATGGCCTGGCATGTTTCACATGGCGCTAAGATTGTTATGCAGTGCATGACATGGCATAGCATCACAGCACATGCCGTGCCATGCCATCCTATCCCATCACTTCGCACCGTGTTCCATCGTGCATCTGAGCATGCAAGTGCTCTCAAACATGAGATTACACTGACAATTTTTAGTCTCTGACCATCTCACACCTGACCAATTCCCGACCATATGACTCGTACTGTCCATGGGTGATGTTTCCTGTTTTGGGTGGCTGTGTGCATTGGAGTGGGTGATGGAGTATGGCCATGATGTGAATATATGTGTGCGTGTGTCTGTGCGTGCGAGTGTGGGCGTCTGTGCATGTGTGTGTGAGTTGTGTGTGCGTGTGTGTGTGTTTCTGTGTGTGTGGGCATGTATGAGTGTGTGTGTGGCAGGGTGTATGTATCACGACAACCCATCACACATGCTGGTGTGCATGACGAGCAGCGCAAACAGCATCACCATTTGGGTCTAAGCACCCCACTGCACCTATCTGGTGACCCTCCCTCTGCTCCTCCTCCTCCTCCTGCTGTCAATACTGCCACAACTGCGTCTGCTGCCACAGCACCCAGTCCCTCCCCTATTGCTGCTAAGCAGGAGGCATTTCTGGTCGCAGCATGGGCTGACACACACCAGCTATTGAGCCCTTTCCCTGCTGCGCCTGCCACACCTGCTGCTGGTGCTGCTGCTGCTAAGGGCAGCGGGCTGTGGAGAGCAGGGATGAGGGTGTGGAGGAACAGGAGGGCGTTGGCTGGAAGCTGGCTGGAACGGACTACAGGTAGACGGGGGGGCAACACCACTGCTGCAGGCAGCAGCAGCAGCAACACTGGTAGCACCGCTACTGCTACCGAAACCACAGCGAACAGCTGCAGTGGTCACTCTTTACAAGAACCATCTGCTCGCGTCGTGCTGCTGGTGGCAGGGAACGATGCCTTTATAGATGGGGTGGACGACTGGCAGGCTCTTGTGTGTGTGCAGAAGCGAACCCTGTGCCGCACACATAGTAGCATGCACAGCACCGGTGACAGGTTGAATTCGACTGCAGTGCGGAGCGTTTGTGCCAGCTCGTCTGACTTAGGCCGTGCAGAGGCTGTGAATCATGAAGTGGGGGGAGGGGAAGGGGCGGAGAGTGGGGAAAGAGAGGAAGGGGAGGAGAGTGGGGAGGGAGGGGAGGGGGAGTGGGTATGTTGGCGCAGTGGGCAGTGCTGCAGTCTCACAGATGAGGACGACAGGCATGGGCGGCGGCATCAGCAGGTGCAGGTGAGACGCACGGCTAACGATGGCCCGTGCATGTTTTCTTTGCTTTTGGCAATTCAAGTACTGAAACAAAGGGTATTTTTGCAAAGGGGGTGCTTGCTTACCAGGCTTGGCGTTCTTTAGACTGGTAATGCTGACTCATACTTTGCTTCGCCACATGCTTCTCATGTGTCTCCCAACTGGTCATGTCATGCCATGCCCTGCCATGCCATGCCATCTCAGGCCATGTCATCCATCCCATCTCATGTCATGCCATGCCATGCCATCATCTCTCCCTTCAGATGCACTGTCCTATGCCGGTTCCAGTTGCAGCACTTCACAATCAGCCCTCTGGGAGCACAGCAGCAGCGCCCCTTGTAGTGGCAGTCACTCTCCTCCACCGCCTCACCACTGATACACACCTTGCTGCCGCTGCTGCCACCGCTGCCGATGCTGCACATGCTGCCACCACTTCCTCCTGTGCTCTCAGCAGCACCGCAAGTTCAGAGAAGAGTGGGACCAATAGCCATGGCATCAGCGATTCAAGCCCCAGCGGCCACAGGAACAGATCAGGCACCGACAGCAGCAGCGATAGTCTAGAGAGGAACAGTCTGCCGTTTGTGAGGTTGAACTGGATCGGCAGACACGAGCGGCAAATTGATTTCAGTGGAAAGAAAGGTCCGCCAGGAGCAGATGAAGCCACAGCAGGAGCAGCAGTAGAAGCCGCAACAGGGGAAGGGAGAAAGGGTGATGGCAGTGGATTTGATGGGGGAAATAAGGAGCAAGGTGGTGAGAGTGGTGAGAGTAATGGGAGTGATGGTGGAACTCTTGAGCTCACTGTGTGCACGGGCCCTCTCTTCTTTGACATCTCAGTAAGCCAAGCCACTCATCTCATGTAACTTCACATTCCTCTCTTCGCCGTAACTCGCCCTCACTCACTGGTGGGGCTCTTGAAACTCACTGTGTGATGTGCTGTCAGTTACCTGCTCTTGTCATCACGTGACGTTTGTCTTTTGTATTTCACTGCAATCATCTCTTGTGTATGCGTGCTGTCTCTTCAGAAAACTTGGTGTTTCATCCTCCCCCTTTTCTGAATCAATCCATTCTCCGAACCAACCCTCTCCGAACCAACCCACTCCTCCGAACCAACCCACTCTCTGAACCAACCCATTCCTACGAACCAACTCACTCCTCCGAACCAACCCGCTCCTTTCAACCAACCCACTTCTCTACTCACAATATTCCTCCTTAAAATCCAACTCTTCCCACACCCCTCCCTTCTTCCCACTCTCCTTTCTTCCAACATCCCCTTGCTCTCACAGCCCCTATGGCTGGAGTGGCTGCACTTCGTGCACCTCATGGGAGCCCACCACGTCACAGCATACGCCATCGACAACGACAGCTACTCCCTCTCGCCCCTCTCCCGTGCTCTCCTCCGCTTCTCCGCCCTCCGCTGGCCATCCTTCCTCTCTCTCGTCCTCTGGGACCTGCCCTTTACCGAGGTATTGAAAAGGAACCACATCCCCTAACCCTCAGTCTGTTCCGTCATGCTCTGAGTCCTGCCCATTTTACCAAGGTACGAACCTTGGAGGCCACTTTTCAGACATCTCAAAGGTCTCGCTCATGCTCTAACCCCTTCTTTTTTAACAAAATATGTACTCTTGTGACTAATTCCCCTTTCCAGACACCTTAATGGTCTACTACATGTTCACTTGTCCTCTCTCACTTCTCCCTCACTCCTTTCTCAATCTGCTTGCAATCACCAGGTGAACGGATTACCTGACCAGCGCCCATTTGGTCTGGACATGCACTACAGGGCGCAGCGCCTCTTCCTCCTTGACTGCTACTTCCGTTCCCACTCCTACTCCCACACACACCCTCACTCTCACTCCCACACTCACTCCCACACCGACTCTAACACTCCCTCTCACTCTCCCTCGCACGCGCTGCTTTTCCTTGACCTGGACGAGTTCCTAGCTCCGCCCTCCTTCTCCCCGCTGCTGCTCAAGAACCTGCCATCACTGGAGAGCATACCTCGTACTTGCTCTGCTTTGGATGATGCTGCTGACAGGCGCAGCAGCAACAGCAGCAGCAGCAGCAGCAGCAGCAGCAGCAGCAGCAGCAGCAGCAGCAGCAGCAGCAGCAGCAGCAGCAGCAGCAGCAGCAGCAGCAGCAGCAGCAGCAGCAGCAGCAGCAGCAGCAGCAGCAGCAGCAGTAGCAGAAGCAGCAGCAGCATCTGGAGTTTGATCCTTTCTCCTGTGAGCCTAACGTTGTATAAAATCTTCTTCATTTGCATTATCTGCTTCCCCTCATTTCACCTCCTTCCCTCAACCCCCCCAAACCCCACCTCTCTCCTCCACGCTGCCTCCCTTTCCTCCAACCTGCTCTCTTCCGCATCACCCTCTCTTTTTTTCACCACCTTTTCTACACCACTACCATCAGCTACCCCTTCATCCCATTACCGCCATCTGTCTCCTCCGAGCCTTGTGCGACCCTCACATGCCACTCCTCTCTCCCCTCCCCTTTCCTCCCATCCCCCTCTCTTCCGCCTCCCTCTGTCTCCTCACCATTGTCACCACCAGCTACTCCTTGATCCCACCACTGGAATGCTTCTCTTCCGCAGCTGGTGGTATCCTCACGTGCCCTCTCTTCCCTCACCTCCTCCTCCATCTTTGTCTGATGGTGCTGCTTTTCTGCACATCCCAACCGAGGTAAGTGTTCCACTCAGCTCTAATGCTCGGCCCGCATCTCTTTCTGTCTTTAAATCTACCAAGCTCTCTCGTCCCACCATGCCGCCCTCCTCTCTCTTTTATTTCCCCGTCCCTTCCCTTCCTATCACACCCTCATCCCATTATGCCAGTTAACTTGTTTCCCTATAAACCCTCCCTTTCACCCTCAACCCACCCCTGCTTTATTCTCTTCCTCCATGCATTTTCTTCCCCCTTACTCCCAATCGCTGCTCTCCCCTTCTCTTCACCACTCCCTCTCCGCCCTCTCCTCCCTTCATTCGCGCCCGTTCCTCCAGCCACCCCCACTACTGACAGCAAGCAGCACACAGCGGGACCGGCGCATGTTCCAGAATCGCCAGCGAGCCAAATATGCCTTCCCGCTAGGAGGCGCCATTGCCTTCAGCATACACCGCCCCGTGCTCGTGAGTGCCCGATGATTGATGCGTTTTTTTTGTGCGTGTGTCTATGTATGGCTGTCATGGCTCTCACAGCCCATGCTTTTACTTGAGGTCGCTTTTAAAATAATATATTTATTTCTTTTTTTGATTGGTTTTTTTTTTTTATCGTTTGCAGCTCTCACAGGGCAAGCTCCTTGTGGATGTTCCAATGGATGCAGCGTACATTCGTCACATCACATCCCCGTCCACCTCATTTGCTGTCTACCAGACTCCCACCAATGGTTCTCACAATGAATTTACACTCCCTCCACTTGAAAAAGACATGTCAATGCTTGATATAGCACCGATACTGAGCTGCCAGGTTGACACAACATGGCAGCATTTCCATGAATGGGCAAATCGAACATCTATTGATGCATTTAGGCCTTTGTAGTCATACACATTTGAGTCATTGCAGCTCCTTCAATCCAACGAGTTTGATCGTACCCCTGTCATACTGCTAAAATCTGGATGTCGTCAACCTGATGTGGTAGGGTCTACTGCACCCATCTATGTACTGTAGGTACCATCTCTATATTTTAAATGACCGCTCTGGATCGCATGCTCCGTCATTAGAGGTTTATCCGAACCCACTATTGTACTGCTGCTTTACAGTTTCTGCGCACTATGTTTGACCAGCAACCAGTACGGGAAGCTGATGTGACAGCTGATAAGAGGAGGCCCATCTAAGTACTGTAGGCAGGGCCCAAAATTGGTTTTGGCCCACCCTGACAAATCAAGGTTCCAGGCCCCCAGTACCCTGACCCTTAGGGTAATTTTTTTCGTACCCTGCTGGAAACAGCCTAAAAACGCCTAAAAACTTCCATACACTGATTTCAACAGTGTAAATTTGCAGTTAGGCTGTTAGTACAACAGGTTATGTCTCAGTTGGTTAGGTTCTGGACCGCTCCTACGGCAGCTGATGTCCGAACGCGGTGTGCGCCAAGGGGATCCATGCGGTCCCTTCTTGTATGCACTCACGCAGCAACTAGCCATTCGACCTCTTCGTGCTACATTCCCCGACGTTCTTTGCATGTCTTATGCCGACGACACTTATGTTCTCGGCCCCCCCCACCGCCTAGTTGCAGCTTTTACCACCCTGCAGCAGAATTTCAGCGCCCTAGGCCTCACGGTGCAGCCAGCTAAGTGCCAAGCTTGGGCCCCACAGGGCTGGCCAGAGACGCTTCAGCTCCCTCCCGGTATCACCATGCAGGAAAGCGGCATGGCAGTTGCACGAGTTCCGATAGGAGAGCCAGATTACGTCACCAAACAGGTCAAGCAACGCCTCGCTTCCCTCCGGGCTGTAGCACCCTGGCTCCTTCGCCTAGAGAACCCGCAGATAGCAGCCCACTTGCTCGCGGTCTCTGTTTCAGCTAGACCCTCCTATCTCTTGCGCACAGTTCCGCCCACGGACGATGTTCTCGAGCTATACAGTGACTGGGATGACCAGCTCCTTGACACCCTCATCTCCCTTTTCCCCCCTGACTGCTGGGACCTAGATACCGCAGAAGGGCAGCTCGCACGGCAGCAGGCATTCCTTCCAATCCGCATGGGAGGTTTCGGTTTGCGGAGTGCAAAACAGTACGCGCCTCTTAGTTACATTTGCAGCTGGGCACAAGCCATTCCGGTGCTTGCATCGAACTGCAAGGTCGACGGAGACAATTTCCTACGCCCATTCATTGCATCCGACAGCCTAGAACGCCTAGACTCGCAGGCACCCCGCGCTCTCGCTTCCCTCCCGGCAGATTTGCGGCACCTTGTTCCACCATGGTCTGCCTTCCTTGCGGGCTACCCTAATCGCCTTTTCAGCTCTAGCACAGCGCATCTCAGCACGAGCAGCGGAACAGCTACGTACAGCGGCAAACCAGCGCCACCAGTTGGTCCGTTTGACCTCCCTTCAGGACCCACCAGCCGGCGCATGGCTTACTGCTGTGCCCTCCACACCGCGCTCACAGCTTGACGCATCAGACTGGCTCATAGCAGCTGAGCTACGATTAGGCCTGCCCATTCCCCACCTCCGCCTTCTCGAATCTGCACCACCATGCTCCTGTGGACACCACTATTCCGACCCTACCCTCCCTAGCCATGCCCTTCGCTGCCCCGACCTCCATGAGCCTACTCATGTTCATGACGCAGTAAAGCATGAGGTCGCCAGGATTGCACGCGAGGTTGGGTTCACCGTTCGTGTCGAGGACCCTACCCTGCTGCCAGATCATGTGGTGGATATCAGTTGCCTTGACCCTTGTGCAGGAATCAAGTGGGCTCTGGATATTTCCGTCATTGACCCGCAGCAGCAGAGAGCACCGGCTATTGTCAAACATATATATGTGTTATAGTTTTGGGTAGGCTGTAGTGGGGTAGATACTGTGGGGTACAACCCCTTAGGTTTCTTCCTTGTACCAAAACCTCTCAATAGTGCAAACCATTCATGCCTAAGTTTCTAAAATGGTATCTAGAGCAGTAGGTCTTTAGGACCTAAGATTAGGGCCCACCGGTTACCGCGTTACCTCACCTACCGCCTTGCCTGCCTGCCTGCCTTGCCTGCTGCCCGCGCGCGCCTCGGCTGCACGCGCGCGGCCCTTTTTTTTTCCCGCGCGCGCCTCTTAAGCAGCCCGCGCAGCCCGTTTTCGGCCCCGCGCGGCGCGTTAGCCGCCCGCGCAGCCTGCTGCCGGCCCGCGCGCCGCTTAAGCCGCCCGCGCGCAGCCCGCTTAGGCCCCGCCCGCGCAGCCCGCCGCCGCACGCAGCCCGCAGCCGCGCGCAGCCCGTCGCCACGCGCAGCCAGCAGCCGCGCGCAGTCCGCAGCCGCGCGCAGCCCGTCGCCACGCGCAGCCAGCAGCCGCGCGCAGCCCGCAGCCGCGCGTGCCCTGCCCGTGTGCCGCCCGTGAGCCGCGCGCCTGCCTGTCTTAGCCTACCTGGAGCGCCTGCCTTGAGCGCCTGCCTGCCAAGAGCGCCTGCCTGCCTTGAGTGCCTGCCTGCCTTGAGCGCCTGCCTGCCAAGAGCGCCTGCCTGCCTTGAGCGCCTGCCTGCCAAGTGCGCATGCTTGCCTTGAGCGCCTTTCCTGCCGCGCGTGCCTCCCTACTGCGCGCGTTTGCTTGCCCTGCACGCCATCTCCGCTGCCTTGCCTGCACTGCTACTATGGCGACGCTTAATGTGCTCGCGTTCGATCCTGACGGTCGTCCAGTAGAGTTCGCCACCTGGCTCGACGACCTGCAACTGTTCCTCCTGACTGATGCCAAGGACGGTGTTTCCCTGTTCGATTACGTGTCTGGCACTGCCGTTGCTCCTGCTGACACTGAGCCTGCTCTAGCCCGCTCCCAGTGGCAGACCCGCGATGTTGCTGCGCGCCTAGCTATTCGCAACCATCTGCCGATCACAGCGCGCGCATTTTAGCCAGCACAAGACTGCCAAGGCACTGTACGACGCTGTAGTTGCCCGCTACTCTTCCCTGGCCACTGCAGCCCTCGGTCGACTTATGCTACCCTACCTGTTCCCCGACCTGTCCTCGTTTACCACCGCTGAGGACCTCATCTCTCACCTACGCGCTAGTGACACTCGCCTTTGTGCCGCCCTTCCAGCCGAGTTCCTCGCAGAGAACCACCCCCCGATGTACTTTACTCTCTACTTCCTCATCACCCGCCTCCCTGACACTCTTCGCTCAGTCAGGGACCACTTCCTCGCCCTTGACCCCCATTCTCTCACTGTCGACGACCTCGAGAAGCACCTCCTAGCAGCCGAGAAGAACATTCTAGTTGTAGGTGCTGCTCGTGGTACTCCCCGCACTCCCCTCTTTGAGGGGTGCTCCCCCTCCCCTCTTACCCCCTCCTACGCCTCCGCAGCTGCTGCTGTCGACCTCCTTGGTGCTGAGAAGGTCGCAGCTGCTTCCGCTCCGAGTGGGAAGCGCAGCGGCTTCAGGGCGGGCAAGGGTGGCAGGGGTGGCGGACGTGGCGGTGGAGGGGGCGGTGGTGGAGGCGGCGGGGGCGGTGGAGGTAGTGGCGGTGGTCGTGGGGGTGGAGGTAGTGGTGGGGGCGGTGGTGGTGCCGGGAGCAGTGGCGGTGGCGGCGGCGGGGGCGGCGGAGGGGGGAGTGGTGGTGGCGGCGGTGGTGGTGGCTTGGGTGACACCAGTGGTGGCCAGGGGCAGCAACAGCAGCAGTAGCAGCAGCAGCAGCGTCAGCGCCAGACCCCCACTTCCGAGCAGCTTCTTGACTGGTATGCTGGGCGTGGGGCGTCTGGGGGTCCTGGTTGCTGCCCCTATATCATTCGCACAGGTCCCCGCGCTGGTCGCCAGTGCACAGGGTTTCACACTGAGTACCGCTGCTTCGCTCGGCTTAGCGACGCCTAGCGCGTCAAGTTTCCTGATGCTACTGAGTTCCCCAACTGGGCATACCTGCTTAGGCGTGATGTACCTATCTTTGATCTTGACTATGAGGCTATTCTTGCTGCCATGTATGCATTGACTGTTAGTGCTGAGGGTGACTGCTACTTGTGTGTGCCGCCTGACCCCGGTATAGCCCCAGGTATAGCGCCCGTGGCACTAGGTGCTTGTGAGTCTGCTCCTCTTGGTACTGCGTCCGCACAGGCCTTGCACACCTTCACACTTGACTCTGGTGCTTCCCGCTGTTTCTTTCGCGACAGCACCACAGTCACTCCCCTCCCTGCACCTGTTCCTGTCTCACTGGCTGACCCCTCTGGGGGCCCAGTGCTTGCACGGTCTTCCACTGTGCTTTCGTGTCCGGCGGTCCCGTCTGGTGAGCTGTCTGGTCTCCACCTCCCCTCGTTCTCTACGAACTTGGTGAGCAACGCCGTCCTTCAGGATCACTGGGTTGACACCTTTACACCTGGAGGATAGCGTGTGGCGATCTGCACGTGCTCCCGGACCGGCCGTCACCTGGCCACGTTCACACGTGCGCCTGGGTCTAGTCTGTACACTCTCACCACTGCGTCGCGCTACGTCCCTTTGTCTCCCCAGCTGTACGCGTCTGCTCAGGTAGCTACCCAGTGTG